GCCTCAATTCCCATTGTTAAGTGACAGGCAATGCCAGAGTTCATTAACTGAAATTCATCAGTCACATGACTCCAAATGAAATTTGAATTATTTTTCTGCAACTTGAAGCGAGCTATTACCTATTTTCTTTCCTCAGAAAGATAATAAGGTCAGCAGACATAAGGTGAGCCCTGAGGAAGCAGGGAGAATACAGTGCCTTACGATTTTCTAACGGTACCTAAACACAAAGTAGGAGCCTTAAAAGAATGGTTTTGATGAAACCACTCAATCAACTCAGGAACCGCCAGGAAGGCACGGCCAGCCAGATGACAGCTGCATGAAGCAATCAGATATTCTTTTAGGCATACGTAATACACCGACTCATGTGATCCTCACAATAACTCTATCTGGCAGGTACCACCACTCCCACCATACAAATAAAGACACAAAGGCACATAAAAGTTAAGTGATTTTTCCAAATTCATATAGCTAGTCAGCGTCTGAATCGAGGTACTATGGCCACAAAGTCTAATACTTCAAGTACTTCACTAAGACTAAATAGTTAAAAAACAGAAGTCTGTAACAAAAACAGGAAGCAAGATCAAACGATGTGTATCTTGAGCATTTATTCAAACCCTCGCAGAAAACAGAGGTCATGGTGCCTGCCTCACACAGTTGAGGTGAGGACTAAACAGGATTATACATGTACCCTACTTAGAAAAGTGCCTCGTACTTTTAAGAACTTAACCAATGTCAGCCATTATTATGATTTGTATCATAATACAGCCCACCTAGTCATGAGAAAGTAACAACATTTTCACCTGAAATTTTTCTCAGATTATACTACATCCTTAGATTACCCATATATAGGGTTGAAATTCACAAAAATTTAAGAACTATCACTGTGACAAACTCTAAACCCATCCAGTTCAGAACAATGAAATTACCCAGGGGAAAAGTTAACCAAACAGATAAAAGATTTCTACAGTTAAAATTATATAAGATTGATGAAAGAAATTAAAGAGCATACAAAGAAGTAAAAATAAACCCTGCATTCACTAGAAGGACCCTATTATTAAAATGTGAAACTATCCAAAGCAATTTATAGATTCAATGCAATATCGAATACATGATATTTATATGTGTATGCGTGTGGTACACACACACACACATATGTATATTACACATATGTGTATATGAACCCTTCCCACACCCAACCAAGCTGACACAGCAAAGAAGATGGAAACATCTCCGCCACCCACCTTCCCCACCCCAACCACTCCCTCCCAATCAGTGGCCCACATGGAATCCCCTCACCCTTGTGGTGAACATTCAAAAATTTAAATACAATAAAAAGGGCAGAGCTAAACAGACGCTACTCTGAGGAAGACATACAATGGCCACCAGGAACATGAGAAAAAGCTCAGCACCACCGTCATCACATAACCAGAGGGAGGAACAAGATGGACTACTGTCGAAAACAAAAAAAGATAACAAAATACAAATACGAAGAAGGCAACGGAACCCCTGTACAGTGCTGATAAAAATGGAAATTAGCACAACCATGTGCAAAACAGTCTGCAGGTTCCTCAAGAAACTAAAAACAGAACGACCCTAGGATCCAGCCATCACATTCCTAGATATGAAGCCAAGGAAAATGAAATCCATCTGTGGAAGAAACACAAGCACTTCCGGGCTTGTTGTAGCACTACTCACAAAAGACAGGGAATGCAAACAACTGGCAACTAGATCGACAATGTGGTTCCTAGACACAGCAGAACATGACTCGGCTTAACCAAGGATGAAATCTTAGCATTTGCAATGACATGAGTGGAACTGGATGTTTTACATTTCAGTGAAGTAAACCACGCACAGAGAAACAAATACCACATTATTTCACTCAGATGTGGAAGCTAAAAAAAAATAGCCAATTTCACAGAAGTTAAAAATATACTGGTGGTTACCAGTGCTGCAGAAAGAAGTGGAGCAATATGGGAGAGACTGACGGATGGACACCAGGTGATTGCTAGACAGGAGGAAAAAGTCCTGGGGTTCTATTGCATTGTAGGGGAACTCTAAATAATGCTTATTTATTTTAATAATGTTATTTATAATAATATCCCAATTATCACCAAGAGCCACTTTGGGAGCTACAAACTGGAGAACACACCACCAAGGGAAGGTCCTGTCAGATGGTCAACGTCGGCCCGGCCCGTCACACTTGTATACACAGAGGAGACTGAACGAAGACCCAAGTCAGAAGAGCCCCCACTCAGCACGTGCCTGGCCCTTTAACAAGTGCTTTCCCAACACTGCCTAGTCTAACCCACACAACACCCTTGCCAAGATTCTACATTCCCACAGAAGATTACACCTCTGTGGGGCAGTAGATTAAGGCTCCACTCGGGTGGCCCACGCCCGCTTTCAGCGCCTCTGGGATGGAGGCCCATCTGTCCTTCCAATTCGGCTTCCTGATCCCGCATTCCCTGCAAGGCAGCAGAGGATGGTTCAGATGCTGAGACCCAGACAGAGTTCTTGGATCCCGTCTGGTCCAACGCTGGCTGTTTGGGAGTGAGTCAATGAGTGAGACATCTCCCTCTTCCTGTCCCTTCTCAGCTGGGGACAGCCATCCCCCTGCCATCTCTGTGCATTTCCACCTGTAGGCTCAACGTCCTCTGGTTCCAACAGAATAAGTACCCTTACTCACCTGTTCAGGGTCTTCTCCCTCCTCAGGTATTCAAGGATACTCCCTGGCTGCTCCCCTCTTCCCTATGTATCATCCCTCCTTTTTTAGGTGCTAGATCACTCTGCTATATAAACATATTCTAGTTTGCTCTATCATTAAGAAAAAAAAAATACCTACGCAGCTTTGATGCTGCTAAAACAGTTAAAATCCTGATCGCCCAAACAATCCCACACAGCAGCGTTAAACCTGACTGGTCACCACCGACGTCCTCACCGTTGCGGCTCCCACTCCTCTTTCTTGTGCACATTCTCGAAGCAGTTCCCTCCAGACGCCGAGTCTCGGCACCATGTGTAAGGGGATGATGCCAAAGGGGACCACTCACCCTGACTTCCCCCAGGACTCCAGGTTCAAGGGACTAAGGGCCTATTGGACATCTCGGTTGTAAAAGCGACTAGAGTGTGCACTGTGCATATTTTACCACCACAAGACAAACAGATCACGTGCCTGATAGAGAGAAGGCGGATAAACAGTATGTAAAAGCAAGTGTAGCTTCACGTTTAGGGTAGGTTTGGGGAGGTGGACATACAGACTTCATTATCAAATTCTTTCCAACTATACTGGCTCACTGTTATATATCGGGCGGGGGGGGGGGAATTCACCAGCTAGCTCAAACCTAAGAGACCCCCAAAACAGATACTGACGGGGCCCGGCACGGTAGCCTAGCGGCTAAACTCCTCACCCTGTACGCACTGGGATCCTATATGGGCACCGGTTCTAATTCCGGCGGCCCCGCTTCCCATCCAGCTCCCTGCCTGTGGCCCGGGAAAGCAGTAAAGGACGGCCCAAAGCCTTGGGACCCTGCACCCGCGTGGGAGACCCAAAAGAGGTTCCAGGTTCCTGTCTTCAGATCGACTCAGCTCCAGCCATTGCGGTCACTTGGGGAATGAATCATCGGACAGAAGATCTTCCTCTCTGCCTCCCCTCCTCTATATATATTTGACTTTGCAATAAAAATTAATAAATCTTTAAAAAAAAAAAAGATACTGACACCGCAAGTTAAACTGGAATCAAGGCCCCCTCCTCCTCAGCTGTCCCCCTGCTAAGGAGTCAGACTTGACTGGCCAAACTTCATCTGGAATCCCAGGGCACTTCAATAGGCTTGTGGGAAATTGCATTTTTAAGTAAGTTTATTTCAGTGCAAAAAAAAAAATTATTTAAAAGCCATATGTATGAAAGAGCGTCAAGAGGTTCACAGAGGGAAAAAAACGCATAGGATGAACAAACTATACATGGATTTCAAAAAGGCTTTGCATCAAAATACACTGATCTTGGAATTCATTCCCACCCCCGCCCCTACTCTTCAAGTCCCTCCTAGTAACTGCACGAAGGCGAGGGACTTGGCCCCTTAGCCCCTTCCCAGATGGCGCCAGCTCCTAGAACCATGCCTGGCATATGGCGGGTGTTCCAACTCAGCTGCCACTGAATTCATGAGCTCACACCGCTGCTTCCCCGCCAGAGGCCCTGCAGTCCGTCTGGGGAGCCAGCGCCTGCCCAAGGCTTGGCACCTGGGCAGCTTCTCACAGACCCCGTGGGATCCATGCTCCCCTACGAGGCCCGATCCCACAGGCCTCCTCCACACAGCCTCCACCACACAGCCTCCACCGCACAGCCTCCGCCACACAGCCTCCTCCACACAGCCTCCGCCACACAGCCTCCGCCACACAGCCTCCTCCACACAAGCCTCCACCGCACAGCCTCCGCCACACAGCCTCTGCCACACAGCCTCCATCACACAGCCTCCACCACACAGCCTCTCCGCCACACAGCCTCCATCACACACAGCCTCCACCACACAGCCTCCGCCGCACAGCCTCTGCCACACAGCCTCCATCACACAGCCTCTGCCACACAGCCTCTCCGCCACACAGCCTCTCCGCCACACAGCCTCCATCACACAGGCCTCCACCACACAGCCTCTCCGCCTCACAGTCTCCATCACACAGGCCTCCACCACACAGGCCTGCACCACACAGCCTCCACTACACAGCCTCCACCACACAGCCTCCGCCACACAGGCCTCCACCACACAGCCTCCACCACACAGCCTCCATCACACAGGCCTCCACCACACAGCCTCCGCCACACAGCCTCCACCACGCAGCTCAGGCGCCCGCCGCCCTCCCTGGTCCACAGGTGCCTCGGGGCTGGGCCCTCGGCAGCCCCACGCCTCCCTCTGCTCACCTCCGACTGCCTGAGGAGAAGGCGGCCCCGTGGTCCCCGGCCACCTCACCCGCCTGAGGCGCCGGCCGGCCTCCTGTCCTCACTCCCCTCTCACCTGGGCCTGTGGCGCCCGGCGGCCCCAACCGCCTCTCCTCCTTGGGGTTCGCGCACCACCCGCCGCCATCCAATCCCAAAGGCCGCCGCGCGCCTGCGCACTGCGGCCTCGCCCAGCGCCTCCGCCTGAGGCATGGCGCTGCAGATGGCGCAGCCGGCCCTGGCGCACCAGCAACTGGCCCTTCTCCCAGGCCAACAGCGCCCCAAGACTGCCCTATAATCTGAAGCACTGAGGACTCTGCCTTCCAAGGGGACCCCGAAGCCACCTACTGAGTCCCCCAAGAGGCTGATTTGCCTTTCCAGAACAAGAGAGAGAGGCCCGTGGCAGAACAGAACTCAGTTGGCTACTGGGTCCGATAAAATTCAGCCACCATGGTCAGGGCAGAGGAAATACGATGTGTAAGCTCTGCCTGAAAATTGGAAACCGTGTGATCTAACCCAAATTGTGCACTTGTCTACAGAGACTCCAGCAAGTCAGGAGGACAAGGATTAGGGCCGAGAATGGGGTGTGGATTCTGGCTGAGGGGGTGGCTGGCTAATGCCTTCTCATTCACTCTCCTCCTGTGGAGAAAAGGTGATCAAAGATTAAACAAGAAAATACAGAGTTGGCTGTGGTAAGGATGCACAAGGGTACAACGTCTTCCGGTGAGTCCAGCAGCTGTTGGACTCCTGCTTCTCTCATAGTCGTGTTACTCTGGTGGTGGCTGTTGACCCTCAGCGGTGTCAGAAACCAGTGGAGTTGTTCATCGTGGAAAGGGCAGGCTTGGGCTGTGCTACAGCCAAATCCTTCTGTCCTGGCAAGCATATCCCCTAGAAGATACCATGCTGCTCTTCACCCAGCCGTGCCATGCAGGTCCCTGGAGAGAACAGTGAGGACTCAGCAGCTATGACGAGCCTCCATCCACACACAGGGCCAGCCCCCTGCTGCTGGACCCACTGACAGAGCACGGCTTCCACCCAGCTGACCTCATGTCTGCCTGCAGCAGCCAGGGTGGTGTCTACGTGAGCTATACGGTTGTCAGAGACCCTGTGCACTGCACACGACACAACAGTCCTTCAGAACGGATGTCAGAGCCCTGCTTGGTTAGGCTTCGTCCCCCAGAAGCTCGGCCTTACAACGTCTCCCACTGCCGCCCCGGCTCCTGGTTCCCCAGGGCAAGCACGTCCTCACTCCCCAGCCAGCCACCCAGCCCTGCTCCGAACCCTGCCTCTCCTTGTCCACCCCTCCAGGTCTCCCTTCTAGCCTGGCTGAAGAGTCTCTGACTGGCCCGTGCCTGCTGCCCTCCAAGATACAGCCTCCTTATGTTCCGCTTCATTTTGTGCTGTTATAGCAGAATACGTTAGCTTGGGTCATTTATAAAGAACAGGCATTTGTTTCTTATACTTCTGGAGATTGGAAGTGTCCAGTGAAGATGCCAACATCTTTTCATTGTGTCCTCCAGAAGTGGAGGACATCAGGTCTTCATCTGGCAAAAAAGCCAAAGGGGGTCAAGCCACTCTTCCATGATGGCACTAATCCCAACCAAGGAGGCAGAGACCTCCTAACACTGTCACCATGGCAACCACATCTCCACAGAGAAGAGACACCCCAGCCATCACACTGGAGAAGCTCAGCTAGCAGAGGACCAGCAAGGGGGAGGTAGTTCTGAGGCTGGAGTCCCTGCCCCTGGTCTAGGCATGTCAGGTGCCTCTGTAAAAGACTGAGAGGCAGACAAAGTCTACTGAGGTCCTCTCCAACTAGATTAACTAACTGCCAAGGCAACCCTTCATCTCAGGCTAGGGATTTTAAGAAAAGATCCCAGGGAAATGTGGTCCCAGAATTTCATGACTTGAAAGTCATGTCTTCACAGTCCAGAGGCCAAGTTCAAAATCAGGGTTTGGGGCCTGAGAAAAGCAGGCAACTAAAAACAAAAGATACTGTCAGAAAAACAATAATTGTTTCAGGACTAGGCATCTGGCACAGCAGTTCAAGTGGCCCTTTGGGATGCTGGTGTCACAGACAGCAGTGCCTGGGTTTCAGTTCCACTATCTCTGCTTCCATTCTAGCTTCCTACTAATGAGTGCACATGATGGTCTGAGAACTTGGTCTCTGCCGCCCATATTGGAGACACAGATTGGGTATTGGGCTTCTGATTGTTGTGGGCTTTTGGAAAAGCATCTCTCTTGACAAAAAAACTTTCATAATCATTATTCCAGTGCCATGAGTCCCCTGTAGGACCCTGTTCCAGCCCTGTGCTTTGCAGCCTGGCATACTTGGGAGTGGCTTCTTCATGTCTAGCACTAAGTATGAGTCAGTGAGGACCACGAGCTTGGAAGGGGTTATGCGCTTCTTTCTTTTCCCAAACTCGAGACTTCCCATAAAAGACTATAAAAATAAATCATAGAAAGTCCAATGCCAACAAAAATCTCCATGAAGGGAGAAAACTTTTATTTCAAGAACAAGAAGGGCTTCCACTTACCTTACTGTGAGTTCCTGGCTGTGAGTTCCAGGCTGCCTACTCCCCAAGCTGCCATATGGCAGGTGCCCAATAAATACTAGCAGACTGCCCCACGAGTTGGCTGCCCACTGGTTTGTGTCTCACTCAGCCTGTGGCTCTGTGCACACACACACAGAAGAGAGAGCAGAGAGAGCTGCGGGGTTGGCAGAAGAGCCTGCCCCAAACTCTTCAGCATGAATGTCCTGGCTTTCCGCTCCAGCTCTACTGATTAACTGTAAAGTAATGATGAGGCAGGAAGCAAAGTGCCAACGACCTTGAGATCTGACAAGGGAAGCTGGACTCATGCCTCTTAATCCTTCTGCTCCACTCCTCGGTCCATGGCGAATGTTCTGTTCCACCTGGCCAGAACACAGATGCCTCTATGTGATCGCAAAGACAACCCAGTTCGTTCCAATGTCATTCAAGCTCAGTTCCTTCCCCCGCCTCTCACCTCAACCCGCACCCATACATATAAAATCTCGGGCTGCTCCATAACTTTGCTCCCAGCATAGTTCCATTTCAGTAGAAGATGGTCATCTTCCTCCCCTGTCCAACCAGATCTTCCAAGCGTCTCCTTCCTTAGCTGATCATTAGACTCCCTCTGCTTCCAGGCTCGTGAAAGAAGTGTCACCTGTCTCCTTTTTCACCGGGTTTTCACATCGCACATTCCTGCCGACTCAACATTCTGACACCCCTGCTGAATTCTCCAGCAATGCGCACCCTGGACTCAGCAGATCTTCTGAGCATCCAAGTGCAACTCCACAGCCTGAGAGATGCTACCTCTGGCCAGCCACTTACAGGTCAGTCCTTCAAGGGACCAGACGAATGGGTAAGTGGAGGCCAGATTGAGGGCGTAATTTGGGGCCCAATAAGGAGCTACTGGGAGACAAAAGGGCTACCTTTATGTAATTCATCAACCACCAGAGGGTTTCTTTGTGGTGCTTGTGAATGCATCCTGTGTCTGAGCTGGGGCTCAGCTCCTTCTCTGCTTGCTTTGCAGGTGGTTGCAGGCATAGGTCTACTTAGCTACCGCCCGCCACCCCGCCCAGCATGCTACACCCTTACCCTCACACAGGGACTGCCAGAGCTCTCCCAGGGCAGTCCTCTCACTCCACTCTCCCAGCACGCATGCTGTTCAGCCTCTAACCCTCACCTGGGCATGTGCTCATGACACATGTCAAACCTTAAAAATTGTTCTTCCAAAGTCTTCGACATGGCTGGAGGAGAAAGAAGAGCACCTCAATCTGCCACCCTGCCCCAAAGGGGGAAAACAGACGTGGAAGGGGAAATGCCAGATCATCCCAACCATTCTTTTCATAGTATTGTTTGGCTCCTGGCCTTGCACCTGCTATATGCTTTGGGGCTCTGAGTGTATAACTGTTGTGATTTAGATTTTAACCTAATATTTATCTGCTAGGTTCTTGCCTATTTCTTTTTAAATATTTATTATTTTTTTTTTCAAAGTTAGATATACAGAGAGGAGGAAAGACAGAGGAAGATCTTCTGCCCGACGATACACTCCCCAAGTGGCCGCAACAGCTGGAGCTGAGCCGATCTGAAGCCAGGAGCCCAGAGCTTCTTCCAGGTTTCCCACATGGGTTCAGGGTCCCAAGGCTTTGGGCTGTCCTCAACTGCTTTCCCAGGCCACAAGCAAGAAACAGTACGGCAAGTGGGGCTGCCAGGATTAGAACTGGCATCCACATGGGATTCTGGCTCTTGCAAGGCAAGAACTTTAGCCTCTAGGCTGCCAGGCTCCTTGCTTCTTTCTTAAAAAGCATTTTAAGCACAGACAATGACACAAGCTAAAAATAGTGATAACGTTTATTCAGACGGTGAGGAATACAGACTTAGGTGGGCCATGTTTTGGACGGGAAGAGGTAAAGGAGAGAGACTGATAACTTCTGTCAGTGGGAAGAAAGCAAGGGAGCATGCAAGAGACCAAGGGTGTACCAGGAAGAGAGATGAAGAGAGCAAGCCAAATTGCTCCTCAGCGTGGTCTTTAAGGGACTTTAAAGGAAAGTGGCTGTGCAATACTGCCCCCCTCAGGTGATGATTGGTAAGGTCTCTTGACTCACAGGTGGGCAGAAAGGAGCACACACAGAAGCGGCTGGGCAGGTGTTGCTTTCAGACTCAAGACCCGGAAAAGTCTGCCCAAGACCATATCATAATCAGCTGTGCTGTTGGCTTCCATGGAAGGTGACTCCTACAGCATGAGTACATTATCATTGAATGAAGAAGGGAGGCTGTGCCATGGGGGTGTGTTGTCACAGAGCAGCATGGGAGAGAGTGTGGAACGGTCACAGGAATCCCTAGGCGTTTCCAGCGACTATAATCTAGAGTTTGGATTGAGTTTGGAGAGCTTAGTTGGAGTCCACAGCTGGAGAGTTTCAAATGCCATGATCAGAAATGTGAACACTATCCGGTGTGATTGGCTATCCAATGTTGTGAAGCTGGGAGTTAGATGTGCCTATTAGCTACACATTTGGAGACCCGTGGTGAAAGTGGAGACTTTTTAGCGTGACGTCAGAATGTCAATAAGCAAGGTGTACAGTATCTTCCAATCAGAGGTCGGGAGGACATAGCCACTGTGGTGGAAGCGAATTTGTTAGCATCATGGTGGGTTGTTCTACAAACAAGTATCTTACTTTTCTCTTGTTT